CTTGGCGACGGGCCGAAAGAAACCCCAGTAAATTAAGGGGTGAATCCCCTGTATTCCGCCAAAGAATGAACCTCTCCAAGGCGATTAACATTAAGCTATCTAAATGCGAATCATATAGAAGAACTTGTTTCGGAACAGAAATTACAAAAGTAACGTTTAATACAATTGCAAAACTTGTTTTCGAAAACTGGAGAGAAGCAAAGAAAAAAAAAATATGACTCACGATTTATAATAATAACGAGTGAGCCTATAAAAAGTAGAAACACTTCTCTGTGCATTATTTCATTTTCCATCCAATCAACATATGGAGATCTGATGGCCTTGAGCGTCTTTGGCTAAAATTTCGTTTCGACTAATGTTTTTTCTTTTATAAAGTTGTGCAATTGTTCTCAAAAAAAAAAACATGAACGAATCTTGCCAATTCACCAATTTCAATTCTGCGAGAGCAGGTGTGAGAAGGTATTTTCGGTGTACACATGTATTTTTAATGAAAGGCAATTGGGTGGTTCTGTGCTACATTCTTAAGATCCTCCGATCCGATGGAACAAGAATCCAGCGGATTTTCTTTCCATTGTGTTAATAAAGTATTCTGGCCAAGTGAAAGCTCTTAATGAAGTTTAAAAATATGTATACATAAATTACGAAAGGTCAGTTAATCGGTATTTTGTTTTTATGAAGAAAATAAAAATGTAACATTTAAAGCAAGGCGGAATTCTCATTAAATGCAACAAGGGACTTTATTATGTGTATGATTTGCAGATGCCGACCGACCAGGATGTGATTTAGCGAAATGTTCTTTAACGGTGGAAACCAGAAAAGAATAATCATAATAACTTATTATATCATTAAATTGAAATCTTTATTTAGTTTGTCTGTGTGTGTGTGTGTGTTTGTCGAGACGCCACCCAAGAAGAAGTTTCTATCATTTTCGTGCGGATAGCTCGTTTTTATTACGCTCATTTATACACGTAACAGCGTCGGGAATTAAACTTGGACATAGTGAAAAAAAAACTGTGACACTATCTGTATATTCGCTTGAGCAATTTTATTTAACCGCAAGTTTGAAGCAAAGAAAATTCTTAAACGGAATCTATTTAATTTCAAGAACAAACTTATTCATTTTGTTTTTTTCTTTTCTTGTGTGTTTCTGGTTTGGCGAAGTTTCGGGGGAAAAGAAATTTAAAATAATGCTCTCCTGCCATCATTTATCAAACATGAGCTTTTCAATTTTAATTAAGACAATTACGGACTTGTTCGCAATATTTCCTTTATATAAACATTCACGAAGCGAATGAAGAATACGCTTTAAGTGGGACTATGTAGATTTAAGAGAGATAATGAGGTTTACGTTAAATTGCTGGTTATTATTCTTTATTTAGGGCAGAACAGTCGTGGTCAATAGCCTTTTGTTCGCTGCACATTTCTTCTCGTTCTTTAACCAAAAATTGTAATTATCATTATTTATTATATCGCCAAGTCACTTTTACAAGTCTCTTTTATTATTATTATCATTATAAAGAATTAAACTGTATTTCTGTAACACATTAAACTTCAAATAATGTCATCTTATTATTTACATAATAGTTTTAAATTGAAATGTGTTTCCTTTTAATCTCTTAATCGTTAAACTTGCATAAAAATAACTTCCTAGTCTACTTGATAGTAATACCTCGCATAGTGCGGATCAGTCTAGATTAATTTAGTTCAATTAAAAGTAAATTCTAAAAATAATAAAACACATTTCTTTGTGTTGTTAATTTTTGTATGTATTTCCTAGAGCAGTCCGGTTTCAAATAGTCAGGGATATTTGCGGAATCGCACTATGCGAGGCTTTACATCTGTGATAATATGATAATCGTGATAATAATTATTAAACATAATCTTAGTCTCTTTCTTTGTTTTCAACAAGTAATAGTTTGTAATATTTGCTGATCCTAGATACCAAATTCCTTTATTGCCACTGTTTCCCGTTTCCACTATTTTATTTTGATAGTTTCATCATTTTCTACATATCCAAGTTTACTTATTACTTATAACACTCATAATCCTTAACATATATTACTATGTAATTTACTTATGTAAACAATTTACGTAATCTTCACAGCTTTCGTTGAGTGTTTTCACATGGAAAATTCATAGTAGTACACTTAATTGATCACGTATGCTATAAATATTTTTTTTAGGTCTAATGAATTATTTATTGATTGCGTTATTCCATTAAAAATATGGAGGTGAAACGATATACATTATATACAAATTAAAGAATCATTAAATCGAAGCAGATTTTATTTGGTAATGTGTACTTTTATATGCACATGAATATTTTAATATTAAGCTCTCACCAAATTTCTTAACACTTTAATAATATTCTGGAATATAAATTTATTAATTAACCTATATATTTTTATCGTAAACATTCTTAGATCAATTTTTTTTATTCATTCATTTATTCACATTATTTGTGACACATGAGATCTTTTTTGGATATATCAATTAATATCTAATAAGAAACTTGGCCTTAATTATATAAGAACTTACTATCATGGACATTACAAAAATAATTATAAAATGTTGTCCGTAATTGTTACTCGCGCTGCGTCTGTGAGTCAAATGAGTACGAGTAATGGAGGGTTAATAAAATTGGTATGTATGTTTCATATTAGGTTTCCTGTAAACTGGCCATTGAAATCTATTATATAGTTGCATTTTTTTGTGTTATTAAGATTGTTTTCTCGAATTAATGAGAGTGGAAATTATTACTTCCACGTGTTCATAATAGTTAGTTAATTAAAGTATGAAAACAGGTTGATAATGATAATTACATGAGCAATGAGCAAATAATTCTAAACGTACAACTAAAAATACACTCGAAGGTTAGATCGAGTAATTGCGCAAATCGGCGTAAATGTGCGCAAATTGAATGCATTTATTTATATTCATTGAGAGCAAAGGAAGTTGCAAACGTCTGTCTTTCTGTCCGTTTTCGTCGTAAATTCACGTGACGTCGATGTATGGAAATAATTGGTTCGCATTTAGAATGCAGATGCAGGGGAATTTTCATGCGGTCATTATTTTATTAACTTTCGCGAAACCTGTAGCTCGTGTGAATTATATATTTTTGACCGAAACCAGTTTAACTAATGCGTCGCAAAAGTTATTTTTATTCCTTGCCTTTTTATTTCAGAACTGGTCTCTCCTCTCCATCCACACACAGGTATGAAAGTTCATCGCGAACGCAAAAACATACAGTGAGACCGTTTATCGCAATCATTAGAGACGCACCTTTTTTCATCTTTTCTCCCTTTCTTTCAGACTATTTATTATATATATATATATTATTATACGCTATTATAGACTAATAAATAATTCAGTTATCATGGCAATACAATCATAAAACAATCTATAAAATAATAACGTTTCAAGTTTATATCTTAATACATAAGAAGTCTATATAACAGCAACCATATTAACAAAGTTAAGCAATCATCATAAAAGATACTACATGGATGAACTCCAATCCCTATTTCAGATAAATATAATGTAACAGATTTGAATCAGAACTGAAATGAATTATGATCAAAGATCATTCTAGAGTAAAACCGTCTTAATAATACAAAATACTTATTAAACAAGCATCAAGGAAATGCTGTATACTTGTACGTAATATATACTCACATAATTGCAAGTGAATAAACATCATAAATATATACCAGTGGTTACATTGATAGAGCGTTGCAATGCCATCATCTTTTTTTTCCGGTATTTAAATACCGGTATTTATTTAATTTATTGGCTGCAACTATTTTTGCTAGTACGGCAATCAAATTAGCTGTAAACGCAGGGAGATTCTAATCTCGTAACAGGAAATGTAATTTTGAAATTTATAATCGCTGCTCTTAACGAACGAAATTGAAAAAGTAAGATATATCAAATTATTCGCTTTCTGAATTTGTTATATTTTGTTATTGATTTTTTTATTTGTGTTTTGAATCAAAAATTCAATTATATTAATATATAAGTACAGAAATACCTCGCATAGTGCGGGTCTGATTAACCAATATCCCGGATTGTTTGAATCCAGACTAATCTCAAGAAATTTTCAAACCGGTGATTTCGGATTATTCAAAGCCGCAAAATGCGAGGTTTTTCTGTACATTTTTAATAGAAACATACTTGTAAACTAACCAAATTCGTAAGTAATTAATTTCTATTAATCAAGTTTGATTCTTGTCATAGTATATGCAAACTACTTAAACATAAATCAATAAACAATCGTAAAAGGGTCAGTGTTTCAAGGATTTAGATTTCAATGTTAAAAATGTCAATAATTGCAACATATTATTAAATAAAGTTCACGTTTTCAAAGTCCGTAACCTCTATTTACAACGATTGCACAACTAATTACAAGTTTTTTTTAATTGACTTTACTAACTTATTATTAATGGGAAAATATGTATGAGACATTTTACATATAAGATATTCGATTTAAAACTTTGTAAATTCTAAATTGAAATAATTGACTGAATCAAAGTTTTTTCTTATGTATTATGTATTAATTTAGAAGTAATATAACAAAATAAGTATAAGAACTGAAATATAAGTAGATTTCAATCATCTAGATTGAAATGAATTTATAAAATTGTTAACATTTATGCGAGGTCTGTAATATTCTCTAATTGAAAAATAAATCAGTTGAAAATGAAAGCTTATGATTACATATGAATTGATGGGGTGTAAAGTCCTTTGGTAATGATTAAAGCTGACGAACGGCGAATGTATTTATGCATATACTGAAAATCTCTGATAGACGATGATCCTCCTGAGAGGTTATTAAGTTATTTATCAGAAAATGTTGAAGTGTTTAATCATGAAATTGCTTCACGATCTGCAAATTATGGCACATCGTAATTTACACGCGTTGTTTGGGGCACGCTCTTTCTTCGTACACGGCAAATAATTGAAGCCAATTTTCACACAAAACATACAGAAGTGTTGCTTACCTAAACTGACGATTTGATATCCAGCTGGAGGTTGAAGGACTCTCCTGGCCCAAGCCCCACGGAGGATCTCCAAAGCGCAAGGCTCTGATGCGACAAGAATTGCCCCGGGGTTCACGTAACCCCGGTACACCAAATTCTTGGTGGCGCCATTTAAGGCGCTGTTCCACCAGCATACGGAATTGGCTGATAAAAGACCCTGCAACATTTCCAAAAAAAAAAAAATCAATTAGTATTTCCTCATAAATTATTAAAATATTTAAACTGTACTTCGAAAAACAGATGCACTTAAAACATAAAAATAAGTGTGACATTCGGTTGATTTAAGATGCATGGAATGCAGTGAAGAAACCAGAAAAGGATTTTTTAGTCGCCTTGATTAATTTACATTCATTACTGATACTGGGAATGCGGCGAAGCACTAACTAATGTTGCGCAAACCGCATTGATGGGATAAATATGAGATATATTGCCTATCATCTGTTATTGCGTGGCTGCGATGTGTTTGTCGCGACATGTGAATATGAGGGCTTGCAATGATTTATTGATCAGAAGATTATGTGCAGTGGCTGCGTCCCTTTCGAAGAGTATTATTTGCCCTGGTGGAAACTGTACAGCCGTCTGCAACGTGGAGCTTCCCCTAGTCTCAATCGCTTTATCTAAACTTTCACATAAAATAAATGTGGGTGGTTCTTGCTATTACATTCAAAGCACGATCCCAACCCTCCAGACACAAAGACAAAATATGTTCCCATACAACCGAAGCTCCTATTCACAGGAAAACATAATCATAGGAAAATCGATCGATATTAATTAAAATGTATTTTGTAGACGCGGCGCATTACATTTATTACACTGGCTCTTAGATTCGAACTATCCGCATAACTATTTACATTCATTAGTTGGCGCACTTTCCCCTATATTACCTCAAATTATATTATATTATAACGTAAACACGTATAACCAATTTCCTCTGAGAAATTATTTAGATGTAATAGAATTAATGTATTCATAATTCATTTGAGAAATACCTGTGACGATAGAATGTTGAGCATTGGGTTTTAACATGCGCTTTCTTTCACTCACTTCCATATTCAAGAGCAGAATTATGTATTTCTCTCTTTAAACGCTTAAAATTATCGTTTCTAATTTACTATAATAAATATTATAGCGAACTTAAATCATTTAAAACTTCAACGTATTTTAACATAAATTACAGGTATGAAATAAATAATTATTATCTAATACATGTTTTCGTTATCATCTCATTATACTTAGATATTTCATGAAATATCTGGCTTTGTAGTTAATTTATAGAACATAATTTGATAAGTATAGAAATTCCATACTTCACTCATATCAATCGTTGATAAGTACCCAAAGTGTGAATTATTTTCAGTAACATATAAATTAATAAAAATATAAAATGAATATAATAGATTTTTTTTCTTGCTTTAATTTGTTTTAGATTAAAGTAGATGAAACCAATCAAGGTTATTTACGTTATTAGGTGGGGTATGTTCATGAATGAACAAAGATCACACAGATGTGCTTAAGTGTTCAGGTCTCCACTTGCAAGAAAAGGAATCTTCTTACAACCTTGATGACACAGATTCACACGGTCAATGGCTACCAATAATGGCTGAGATCGCATTATTATCACAGCACCCCAAGATTCGTATACTTCATTCATTCTTAAACATTCTTATCATGATGATAGTGACACTAATTGTCAGTTGAATATGCACATGAAAATATGTATCAACGTAAAAATATATTAATTTTATTAGTTATGGCGAATTTCTGAGCTTGAATCTGAGATTTGATAAACAAAATAGTTTATATATGAAATCAAATGAAATCTTATAATAAATTAACCAAGATCTTAATAAGATCAATTTGTATAGTATTCAGTTAATATATGAACTAGCTAATTTTACTTCTTCGTTGTATATATCAAAGGAGATGACGTATCTGAACGGATATTAGATTGATTTAGGTGTGGTAAATGAGGACTAATATATTCGATATGTATGATGGACAGGATGTGATTTGCGTGTGGGAAAAGATCACTGCTGGTATTTTCTTTAACTTATTTCATATTTTCTGAATAATAAAAGCGCAAATTATGATTAGATAGAAAGTTATTTCCAATATACAGCAATATCTCACATAGTGCGGATTATATCAGTGCGGTTTCTCTATAGTACGGTTTGGACATTTCAAAACAAACTAACATTTTCATTGCCAAAATAAAAATAAATTCATAAATTTGTGTAGTTTATTTTTTGCGATTTTAAAGTCTGAGATTAGCCAGGTTTCTAACAAATTTGGATATTGGTTATTATCCGTACTATGTGAGGTATTGCTGTATTATATTTTTCAGATAATTATATAATTTCTCTTAGAATTTTATATAATCATATATTCTTCATTATTAAAAAATGCAGTGTTTAATCTATTAATTACTTAAGACTTCAATAATTTTGTTTGTATATAAATGTATATAATAAACACAGAATAACGATTAAGTGCTGGGATTCTGTTAGGAAAGGCAGCTGTTGACGGCATGCGCTTTATTTATTATACTGAAAATTGTATTAGCGCTAAAGCAATATTTAAATGCGCGCTAAAAGCAGATCTGTAAACGCGCTTTAAACGAGCTTAGAAACTCTAAATAAGTCTATTACAACTTACATAATATCGGATCAATTTTGCGCAGCTGACACTTTCTTGGCGTCAGATGGAGAGCAGCGATTATGCTGACTGAAGAGTTCAAATGCACGTGAAAATAAGCAAAAAAAAATATATGTGTTGAGAACCGGATTCCGAGCGAAATCCATTAAGAGTCTTAATTTAAGACTGGATTTTCATCAAGCAAATTCCTGCCGAATATTATTTGGCATGGTATGCGAACTTGTAAACATTGGGAGATGGACCCATTCATCCATCCATTCGTTTCTAAAAGCGTTCCAGCCGTGAAATGTGCTTCGGAAAGTGCACTGTTTACACAAAACTGATTCGAATTCAGTTTCTGACTTTTGATGCGATATTTCATTTGCTCGAACTTTTCCAATTATTTATAGAACACAAATTTCGAACTGCTCGTTATGTCTCTGTATGTGGGCAATCCAGGAATTGGAAACGCGGCACTAAAATAAGCTGTGTGTATTAATTAGGTGGAGCCGTTGAACCGTTTGTGTACATACCGAAAATATACCTAATCCCACATCGACATACTTCTGGATACATTCATTTCGTATTTCAACATACAGATCTTGAATGAATTGAATAATCTATGTGTCATCAATCCATATATTTGTTAATATTATTAATTCGATTATATAACAAATAAAGTTACAGCACATCAATTATTTTCTTACTCAATTTTATCTATTCTCCATATACAAATAAGAATTGATACTTAATAGATTTTTTTTCTAAATCATAATGAATACATATGAAATATTTTAATTAAAAAATATCTTTAGATGTTTAAAAATCAATATTATAACCTTAGCTAAGACGATTCAATACGGTCGCAAAAATAATCAGGGAAGTAGTAAACCTCTTCACTTTGAAGTTTTCACGTTACATTTTTTTCTCATCGTCTTGTTCCTGCTCTAGAGCATACAATTTTGTCGAGGTTCTTAAAATATTGAAGAGCTTTTAGAAAATGTGCTATTTGGAACGCCAGATCGAATTTCTTTCCGGTGGTCTAGTAAAAGAAATGCTGGTGCGTTATCTTAGTGTGTGAATTCGTTCCAAAACGGAGATTGCCGTAAATAATTCCCATTCATTTCAAAACTTCCTTAAATTAAAAAAAAAAATGTTCACACAAATTTAATCTCGTGTTTCTTTACACCTTCCTCCAGGATACACTAATCATCTCAATTATAAATATGTATTTGGACATTGAGAGAAATTAATCCATGCTTTCTTTTAATTAAAATCTAATTTCGTTTAATTTCATGAACCACCTCAGGGTATTAATGCAAAAAAAAGCAATAATGATGATTTCCATAATTGTTTGAAATAATGGATTACTTGTAAATTACTTTGTTGATATATGGTGAAGTATTAATTATGTTATGCGTATGTAAATACGTTTAGTTTTAAATGATGTAATTAATAATGCGTGGATAATTTTGTGGAGGTTGCGTGTCTCGCCGAAAATTGGAAGAAAGATAAACTGTTGATTACTATTAGCTGTGTAAAATAGAAAGTTCTAAAACCTTAATTACCGATTTCATGCGTTATGCTTCCAATAATGTGGTACTAAATAGCCGATAGTTCAACAATCATAATTACTCATGTTGAGTTCTTCGACGATGAAAACCAATCAAACATATTATTCGGTGATTAAGTTCGCATGTAATGGTAACGATTTACTTGGGAAACGAGCTAATCTTTCAACTGTATGAGATTATTAAATTACTTTAAGAAAACCGAAAGGATATGGGTATTCATTTGCATAGAGGCTACGTGTGGCAATGTTAATTCCATAATTTGAATAATAATAAATTGGCTGTACTACGCGAATTGGATTTACGTTTCTGGTTTCTCACACAGCTGTTGCTCACCGGAAAAAGACACGTTGGTAGATGCTTTGGGCCGAACGCGATTTGTCATTTCCTCGATAGTTCTCAGAGCATGAGTAAAGTACACGTAAAGTAAAATATAAATACCTGAAATAGTAAATATCCGCTCTCGTACATCCAGAAGTCACCTGGATCCCCTTGACAGCCTTCCTTGCGCACGATGATGGCTAGGCATCTTCGTAAGGCCACGCGACAATCCGACCTTGACGACATTATCAAGTGATCATCCTGAAAGCAAATAATATAAATTATATGATGTACATTCATTTATTTTTATAGATGCTGTAAGAAAGTAGACTTGTGATAAATATGTATGAATATATAACGAGATGCAGGTAAAACAGGAAATGTGTTAGAAAGGATGCTATATAGAAATGCAATTTATAATACTAATACGGAAAATATTAACAGTAAACGTCTTAGACAAATATCATTAATCTGCTTGTATATTCAAAATAAACTAAATTTATTTGCTTGTTTATGAATACACTATATAAGCTCAGTTTGAAATGTAAAAGTATACATTTACTTCAACATTAATAGTCATACTACATATACTTTTGCACAGAACAAATCTTCAAAATGCCGCCTTTTTTTTCATTTATAATTTTAGAGAAAATCACTAAAATGTGTTTATTTTTCTATTTTTTCAAGTTTTGAACACAAATTACAGCCAAATGGATTCCCAAAACATCCAGCTTTCATATGCATCTTTTGAATGTATTCAATCTATTATGAGAAAATCATTAAAACGTGACTAACATTTTTAAAGTTTTTCAACTTTGATTGCGAATTGAAACGAAACGCCCTAATTTTCGTGTTCGCTTGTCGATTGGTTTATTTTTGCATAAAAGAAAATTTTATTAGTTAACCAATGGTTTGTGGGCTGACTCAAACAAATAGAACCAATGAAATTGTTTGTAACGAAAAAAGCTGCGTGTTGCCAATCCTTCGTCTAGCGTTTGGCGATATGATTCGCAGCTGCAACCAAGTTTTTATGACTCTCTTATCTAGTGTTCCATACTCAGACTTTTTGTGGCCCAGTAAGGATTCTTTAAACGTTCAAAGCAACTGTGATTCGTCGATTCAAAGACACACAATGCGGTTTACAATACCACAAAAAATAATAGAATTCAAGAATACATATTTTATTGTTAAATTGCTGACACTCGACATCTCTCCCCCCACGACATTACTTACTTAACTGGTGCACAGGGCTCACGACAATCTTAATGCAAGTATGGCAAGTATTTGTAATGAATTAAACATTGTTAGTGAACAAAGAAACTGAGAAGAAGGAGGCTTCTCTGAACATGATTGCAGAAGGGCCCAACATTATTAACAACACCACTGTGGTAAACTAAATTTAAATTTTGTTATTCGTAAAATAAAAAGGAATATGCATGATTTCAAAACTAATTTAAACATAATTTCATAATCAATTTATCAAATTACGAAAAAAATAAAATAAACTAAATTATAATGCATATTACCTAACTAAGATTTACTAATAATTATATTAATTAAATTATTTAATATAAAACTAACGATGTTATGTAAATTATTCTATTTTCTTCGATAATCAATCAATCATTAATTAAATTTATATATAATCATTTTGTAATACAATTAATAGGTTGACGCAACTAATATAAAAGTATATTGGAAAAAAAATGTATTACTTCATAATGTGTATAAATGTATAACTTGTTTTCATTTTATTTTAGAGTAATCATACTATGGTCTACAGCGGTTACAATTTGCATCAGAAAATTAGCTGTCGGGAATAATTGGATATCTTTCACGTAGTTTGTTATTAAACGAGCCGATGTACGTAGTTCATTGCAAGTATAATAGATTGTTCAGTTTAGACGTTTTAATTTATATTTATAATTTATATTCAATTTTCAACTTTATTTTACATTTATTATGTTACAATAATTTATAAGTATTTACTGTTATCAGGATGTACAGTATTTCAAATAATGTCAGTAATACTTTATAAAAGTACAGATTGAAGAAATATCAAAAACTCTTACAATATTTCTGTATATATTTTGATAGAAGTACTGACATAATTGAAGATATAAGTAAATAGGATTCATAAATTTGTAGTAATGTTAAGTCAGTTACTTAAATGAATATAATAAAAATTTATCTTAAGAAACAAGGAAATATCAATAAGATAAAAAAATAATACTTTAAGAACCAATTTGAGAATTTGAATAAAAACGTTTATGATGAAATAAAAACTCAGATGATGAATCGAAATTATGTATATTTCAAGAAATTGCAATTGGGTTTCATTTTATGAAAGATTTGTAAAAATTCATTCTAAAATATGATATAATTTATAAGAGTGTTATCATTATTACTTCTATTGTAAAACTTATTTCAACACAAGCTTCATAATATTGAAAATAATTATTGTATAATAGCTGAAACACGACAATAATAAAAACAAACATTTTGCCAATAATTACAATTGTTATAGACTCTTCTATAGCTTTACTTAAGTAGACAATAAATTTATTGTGAAATGAAATATAATAAAACTAATGATTGAAGTATTAGAGTAAATATGTGATATTTTTGTTAAGACTGAAACATTTTATTTGAAGTTGAAATAATCTTGTATGTCTGGTGAGGATGAGTTGGATTTTCCTCATATCGACCAGTCTACTTTCGGAAGTATCCAACACCATCAGACAGCGCCCATCGAATCATGTCTGTGGAAACTAACAGTATTGAGTTTCTAATTGAGGTTAAGCGATTTTTACTACTTTTTTTTATATTAGCATGAACAGCAGGGAATGTAGGATTTCTGACCAAAAATAGCCAATTTTCCCAGCGAGAAGAGAGTGAGTTTTCTATTTTTGGTTGGAAATCTTGAATGCAGCAGCAGCAGCATTGCATTTGGTGCTCACTGTAAACAGATTGAGTGGCACACGTTAAAAGGAGAAAAAACGTATTGCCCACATAAAAGTAAACATATAGAGAAACGATATAAACCTCAGTACGAAATGAATTTAGAATCATTTTACTTATTATAAATATTCATTCGACATGTTTTCCTCCACTTTATTGATACGGAAAGAGTAAATACGTATATTTATATTTATAAACATGACCGTCGGATAGAATAAATTAGAAAACTCTTAATTTATTTTTAACCGTTCGCTGCATTCGAGGAATTTTTTTTATCCTCGTCGCATTCGTAACTTACGTAACACGCATGTAGTGTCGGGAGATTCGTACTTGACGCGACACGCGTAATTGTTTTGGGTGGAGAAATTAGAAAATTAGAAAATCTTATTAACGCATTTTACGACTTCAATTATAATTTATACACGTGTAAAGAATATTGAAATGATGGAATAATGTGCAATTACGCAAAAGCACAGTTTATCTGTCGGGATGGAGCATAAAAGCAATTTTGCGAAGAAATCGTGAAATTATTTCTCGCATGTTATACGAGGAGACACACTTTTCGAGCGCGGATAGAGATACACATTTTATGATGCAATTGCTTTGGTAATGTAACAACCTTCGCGACGATTTGCAAACGATTTTAGAAGAATAACTATAAAATAGTCTATATTATAATATACTTCCTTTTAACCTTTTAGGTTATCGCACTTGAAATTACACTTTATGTATGTATACACTTTGCTGTTTTACATAAAATTACTTTAGGTTCATCTTGATTGGTGATTCTATTCTATAATCGACTATTGAATTTTGATAGTTGTTACTTCTTTTGGTTACCATCAACTAAAGCAGTCATAGACACATTTCTTTTAGGGGTGAGCCAAAAAAACAAAAGAAAGAATATCTATGACATTTTCGCATATGCGTTAATCGCTATTACCTTAAAATCTGCACGGCCCGGATAGAACCTCTGTCCCGTGGGCAGAGGACTGAAGAGCACTAAACTAGAGGATTTTTTCTAGTTATTTGTTAGGTTTTTATTGAAATTACATAACAAATAATAAAAGTTCGCTATATTTCTAAGTATAAGTATATTATAATATACTTCCTTTTAACCTTTTAGGTTATCGCACGTGAAATTACACTTTATTTAAGTATACACTTTGCTGTTTTACATAAAATTACGAACAAATTACTTTAGGTTCATCTTGATTGGTGATTCTTTTCTATAATCCGCTTTTGAATTTTGATAGTTGTTACTTCTATTGTGGTTACCATTAACTAAGGCAGGCATAGACACAACTTTTTTTTTAGGAGTGAGCCAAAAAACAAAAGAAAGTATGTCTATGGACATTTTCATATATGCGTTAATGAAGAGGACTGAATAGCACTGAACTAGAGGATTTTTTCTAGTTATTTGTTAGGTTCTTATTGAAATTACATTACAAATAATAATAGTTATCTGTATTTTTATATCATGATTTTTCAGAATTTGTGCAAAAGACAAAGTAATATTACCAAAATCTAGTTCAAATCATTTTAATGTTTTATTTTAGTTCTTATTAATCAACAATACAATTATCAAAACTGAAATATTTCGAAAGTTTACTTTTCGTTAAATAAAAATGAAAATACAGCTGTCAAAATTATTTGTCACCTTTCAAATTATAAAACAAGATAATTATAAATATGTTTTAAATAAATTGTTAATCCAACAGTTAAAGTGTGTATTTTCAAGAGTCTTGCTGTGGCTAGTTGAACCACAAGAAAACACAAATGTTATATATATTTTATATTCTGATTGATATTTAAAAAAAAAATTATACCAAAAAGTTTAGGTGCGGCTCTTACTGCAAAAAAGTCTGGTCACCCCTGGTCTATACCATCATATGATACACTTGGAAATGTGTTAACAATAAGAATTTTGCGCTGTATTTACTAGATTACAGAATATAGAACGATAGAATAATCATTGAGGAAACACATGACTTACATGACTGTATAATAAACCGAACAAATGATATTCAAAAAGTTACTCACGCGGAACGTACAGACATACACACACATATGAGTTGTTGACTCTCGTATCATTCGTCGTACGAAAACCTTTCCTTGTTTACCTGACACTTGATAGATGCCGGCCGCCGTGATTGAATTGGATTTTTGTGTGTCAGAAAATTTATATTCATTTTTATTCTCACATTCCCAATTTGCTCGCGGTTTTCTCTTCGTCCACGCGCATAGACAAGACAGAGAAAGACACCATCAATCAAATGACACCGCTTGCTGTATTTTAA